ATGATTTTCCTCGCTTAACCCGACATGCTGGTTTCCCAACAGCGACTCTGGACTGCCCGCAGCGACTTGGGAGGGTGAAAACGCGTCGCCTGGGCTCGAAAACGTTCAGGTGCAATCGCTGCAGTGGCAGAAGAGGTTCCAAGACAAAGAGTCCTAACTCCTGGACACGACAAGCACGCTAAAAAGCACGCTTGAACGCGCGCACGCAGGACTTTGGCATGGGTCTCCGTTTGTTTGCTTTTTTGGGTGTAGTGTAGCACTGTAACACATAATGAGATGTGCCAATGAGCTTCAGTAACTCTTCAGCATGAGGTTGGTTAGTCCTACTGCCCTGTATCTCTGTCTTTTCACATGCCTATGTGGATTCAACATGCTAAGTGGGCTATTTTTGGCTGATTCAGGTTTTGTCTAATGGGGCACCACCGGAAATTGGAAGAAAGGGAGTCCAAACACCAAAAGCAAAGCCCCTGCTGCTTTGATGCAGTTTGGGAAGAGCGCGAGCGTTCAGAAAAAACGCGCACCACGACAAATGCTAGAGGGTCGGCGCCAAACACTTGAGGGTAATAGGATTGTCACAAGTGGCAAGTGTCTAGGTCAAGCCCCAGTTTAAGCATCAAACCTGGGCAATCCCAATGCTTTGCCTCTCCAACTGCTGAACACCCAAAAAAACACACCTTGCCACACCGAAAACGATGATCCTTCAGCTGTCTCTTGCGTATCCGACATAAATCCCAGGGTCACACTCTAATCACCACCTGCGACATGTGGCTGGCTGTGTCTACTTTTGACCAATCTTCCCATTGTTGATGGAAAGCCCTTGCGGCAATCGCTCTTAGGTTGGAGGCCATCGCTCTTAGGTCGGAAGCGGTGAGGTTGGAGGCCATCGCTAGTAACTCGGCCGTTAAATCGGATGGACCAAAATGCAATCTGCACCCGAACGACCTCCCTCGGCGTGGCATCTGCTGGCCGACACCAGCTCCTCATCCGCGGTTGTGTTGGGCACCAGCTCCTCTCATGCGAACTGGCCGACTTAGGTTAGTAGGGAATGATCACGAAAGAAAACTGATCGCACTTGCTCTGGGCTTGGACATCAAAGACCCCCAAAAGTCGCCCACCATCTCGTAGCGTCCTTGTTGCTAGTAGCAATGCACCTGGTTACTAGTAGCTTCTTGTTACTAGTAACTAGTTATTAGTAGTAATGCCAGGAGCTACTAGTAGCTTCTATGCGCATGCTTTCCGTTTCATCTTCCTTGAAAGTGCGAAAGTGCTTCGCTATGCCCTGAAATCCCGTCCGGTGCAATGGCATCAGCTTTGCGTTTCTGGTATTCTTCCGGGAAGCGTTCCTGGAGGGCATGTGGCTGAACAATTGGCTAGTAGAGCACATCAACACGAGCATCCGACGCAGGAACGAACTCTCGGTGACATGATCCGAACTGCCATCTCGTTGCTCATCAACTAGGAACAGCTTGAAGAGAGATCTGTTCAAGTTGGCTTCAAACTGCTCTGAAGGCTGAAAGCAAAACGAGTTACCGACTGATCAGGAACGACCAAGACTTTGACTTCGTGACTTCTTGCGACTTTCCGCGTGCCGTTCCCAGCAAAGGCAGAAGAACTCGCCGCGAGAAGCTCTCGTCGCCTCTAGGAGAGAACTGAGAAGACTGCAAACCGCCAAGTCCTGGAAACGCACCGAAAGGACGTGGGAAAGAGCAGTGTGGCCGCAGTTTCGATGGAAAGTGGTCATGTTTCTCATTGGAAAGGATTGAACAGCTGATAGCAGCAAGTGCTTTGATGGTCCCAACAAAGGATGGGTTCACAGTGTCCATCGCTACAGGAAGAAAGATACTGGCAAAGCACCCAAAGACTCCAATATGTATCAACATGGCGGTGCACTGCCAGGATTTCTCCATTTGGCTTCAATGACTCCTATTCGTTTGAAAGCATTACCGGACTACTGCACGCGGCATCTCCAACGGACCATCAACGAATCCATGCGCAGCAGCCTCAGTCTTGGTTGCATGCAGCAGCCGGCGGCAGAGAGGGCAACGCCGCCCGCCAGAGCTCTGCAGGCACGCGGCCAAGCAGCCCTGGCAGAACCTGATCCGACCCATGTCGACCCTATTTGATGGAGAGGGTTGGGGGTTTGGTGGTGTGACCTGAAATTTTACCGGTGAGTTGTTTTGGGAAATCCCGACTTGGTGGGGGTGCCATTCCAACATTCAGAACATGAGGCGATTTGCAAGAAAGGGTTTGTTCAGCACCCTTTTTCCTGCGAAAAAGCTGGGCATTTGGGGTGTGTGTTCAGCTTCCTTCCCGGGAAGGGTTGCGAAAGGTTCGTTGGCAAAACGCCCGTTTTAAACGATGAAATTCATCTTTTTGATTGTCCAATGTTTCTTTCAAACAAAGTCAAACACAAGTGACTCAGCCGATGGCCAACACGGGACCCGGCTGGATGGCGCTCTGCAGTGACCAGTGGGTCTAACACCCGGGAGTGCTCTGTGCACTGGAACGAGGTCGTCTTCGCAACCGACAAACCACCAGGGACAAGAGGACAAAGTCACACACCAAACCAGTGGATGTTTACACAAAACTGCAGCAATGTCCAGTTTGGGTACGGATGTTGTGGATGTTGCCTCTGTCCTTCCAGTCTATTCTGTTAAATATCCCTTGTTGGCTGTGGGTGAGTGATACGACAACACGGGCTTCTATGAGGATCGAAAAGCAGTTACTTGGGGGAGACAGCAGAGTCAGTACATCTGGGGAATCCCAAAGACTCTCCTTTGGCAACCTGAAATCATCACTTGGCCAACGCAGATAGTAGCCAGAGAGTCTAAGGGAGTCGCCACGAACTGCTGGAACTCGACTGAGGCACCGCACCCCAAGACGGCGAAACATCCAACCCGATCGGCCCGATCTTCGTCCAAGTACACGTGGGCACAGGGCAAGACCACCGGGTGAACGATCAGCTCATGGCAAAGAGCACAATCGCAGTCCTGCGTAGCGAACGGTTGTCTCTCGAGGTGCAACCGTAAAAGGGTGGAACACGCGTCATGCCAACGCAACATGCGCCTGAACCACGCGGGTCGGTTCATGGCGGCCTGGAAGGAAAGAACCCCGAAAGCTATGACCTGGAAGGAAAGTTAAGTTTCCCTAAACATCTAGGAACCAAATCATTAGTGCGAGCGTGAGTCAGCTATCCTGCGCCCAGTTACCAGAAGCTAATCGCCCTGAGCTTGCTCCCTTACTTGATTTAAGTAGGCGCCTACTCAATTCTGTGGCGGCAAAAAAGGAAAAAAAAACCGAACGCGTTTCCCATTCACAACAGTGCCCTTTACGTCATCTCTCCAACAGTGCCAAGAGCGAAACTCACATCCGGACTTGAGAAAGCTCTTCCAACTGGCCAAATCGGATTCTACCGGAGTGAGGCCAAAACGGGCCAAAGTCAAGCAAAGAAACGCTACCTTCCACGGACCCAAAAAAAAACCATCGAGTTGATTTGAGTGGGTTCCGTCGCAAGGACTCGCCACTGAATCCAAGGTTTCTTTCAGCCTGTGTCATTTTCCAGCATCTTTCCAATGTATGGATAAATCATGATAAATCAATAAACAAGTTGCCTGCAAGCGGGGTGTTGAAGTTATGAAGCAACAAAAAAACAAGAGATCACCATTTTTGCTGGTTTCCGTTCGCGCTGTCGTCTTGGAGCACTGCCGTTTCAGACCCTCTTCCCCCCAAGTCCTCGAGGCTCACCATTGCAAGGCTCGAGGTCGCAGAGGTCGCATGGTTCGCGGTCGCTAAGTGTCGCTGTGCATCTTTCGGACACGAAGTGCCTGCCACAGTAAGCACAAATGTCTGCAGTTGTGCCGTATTATGCACATGCGTGATCATGCGCATTCCGGATTTTGTTTCGGAGCTCGAGTACCAAGAGCTCCAAATAGGACAAGCCAATCAACCTCTTGCAGGTGATCAATTTAAGATACTGTGGACCTGTGGGAATCTCCAATGATTACGCTTTTATCAAGGCTTGAGCCAACTTTTCGTTGTATCAGCGGGGGTTTTGAGGAGTCTCCTCATTCCAAAACAAGCCATTCCCCAAAACCATCATCACGCTTTTGAGATTCTGCGTGGCCCAAGGCCATGGGCCGTGCAAAGGGTCAGTCCAACTGTGTTTGAAGAAATACGACAAGTCTCCAGAACCAACAATCGATGGAGCCGTTAAGAAGCTTCGCAACATGTGTGAGGTGCGCAGTAGATCACGTCGATCTGATCTGTTTCCATCCATTCTTGGACCCGTTCCGAAATAGACAATTGATGACAATTGAACCTCTTATTCCATCTATTTAAGAACACATAAGAAAACCATCTCATAAACGGCTCAAAAGTTGTTCACCTTTCCTCAGGGGGATCAACTAGATAATGGTTGCAGCGCTCCAACGCATCTCTTTTGTGATCCAAGCGAGGCTTCCGCAGCGTGAGCAGCTGTGGACCCGTGCCAAAAGGCTTGAATCGGATGTCAGGCCGTGTGCTCCGGTGGCGTTCGTTTTTGTCAAGCGTTGGATGGCTTTGCCGACCCTCTCAAAGTCTAGTTCCCAGGAAGAGCCACTTCTTCAATCTATAGAAGGTCACACAAAGAAAAAGCGATCCTCCTTACAAAACCACTTTGTGACATACCAAATACGTCCTTTCCCTATCTGTGAGAACCACGTTGGTGGACACATTTCATGCTGCCCCTTAGGAAAGCCAAACGAATTGTCGGGACTTGCCTTAGTTCTCTGGGAGGCTGTTGTACGATGTTCATAGAAAGGGTATTTGTTTTCTCCTTTTTTCTCCATCAACTGCAGGTCGTTTGCTGCTTACTTAGTCACGGTGGTTAATTCATGTTAATTCTTTGCTTTCAACTGCAACTTGGCCTTGCACTCTCATGTAATCTCGAACTGACAAATCAAGCTAGACCTAAACAGGCGTTTTGGAGTGCCGGCATTGAAGGCTTCCTTTTCGACAGACATGTTCATCTCCGAACAAGCTGCCGGAGCACGTCTGTACTGGCCAACAACTGGCCAACAGTCTGTATGTCTTTGGCCCGACCGATCACGGGACGGGACGGGCGTGCGGGGGTGTGGGCGAAAGGCCTCAGAGCTCTCCGCTGACGACTGGCCTGGGCGTGGGGGGGCGGTGAAATCTCCCGGCTGGCCAAATCTGGTTCCTGTTTTTTTTCAGCCCTCACTTAAGAAAAAACATCAATGATTCCCGACTTGACTAAGCACCAATTAAGCCTGACCATCGGTGTCCTTTCCGGACATGGCATCTGCAACATTCACCTCTTTTCGCCGGCTTCTTCCCGACTTCCGCCTCTCGGCTCTAGCGCGGTGGTGGAGCAGTGCGCCCAAGGGCCACTCCAAGTCCTCGCCCGAGGCCTCTGGAAAGCCACGGCAATGGTGAACGGCAAGCAACCGAAGAAGACTAAAGCAAGCCACGGCAGCTTCCAACCTACTAGCAATGGCCTCCAAGCTAAGAGCGATGCATGGTGAAAGGCAAGCAAGCCATTTTACGTTCTTTTACGTTCTATGAACTTCATGTCTAGCAGTCTTAGCCTTCTCTACATAATTTGGCCAGCCACCTCTCATTCACCAAAAAACATCAGGACGAGAAACGATGAGCGCACATGCTGACGACGTTTCCGGAACAACAACCAGGACGTTGTCCACTGGAGCCATTGTGCAAAAGCAGCCTAATAGGCATGACGACGGAAAAGATCCTTCACCGCATCAGGCACTTTTTGGACACCAAAATTGGAAATGGTAAAGGGAAAGGGATGGAAAGGGTATGAACAGTTCAACAGCTTCCCTGCAGAATCCCATTCCCAACTTGTCAGGACTAGTCTACGGCCATGCGACCTCTAAGGCAAAGGTGACCTTGCGGGCATCCTTCGAGAAGCCATAGATCTCCTCGGAGAACGAAGGCACAACACGACTAACTATGGTATCGAAAACAAACAACGCACCCACGTCTCGAATGCCAAAGGAATGCAAGTACATAGATTAGATGCGGCCGTTCGTTCTTGTGCATCATTCAAACATAACAAGACAAAATCCCCAAATCTGTGTGTAAGTGTTTTACAATGTTCTACATTGTGTGATAAGCTTCTTCAGCTTGGTGTGTCTCTTTTCCATCTGATCTTCCCAAATCTTCGCTCCTTCCCTTCAGAAGACTCTGACACAAATTCTCCGTCCAATGCTCTGGTTGCAGAAAGTCCCTTGACACTCGTTCCAACCAGTTGTGCTCTGGTCGGAATCGCCACCCGTTGTGCGTTCGTCCCACCAAACCCACCCGTTCATCCAACCGGATCGTCGCTTCAAAGACGTAGCGGTAGCGGGAACACAGAAAAACCAAACACTCTTTTATCGGACGAAGCGGCACGCAGCAGGATCAGCATGTAGTTTGCCTGGAAGCAGCGGTAGGGCGCGTTGTCCGCTGCAGTGTACCTCACATCGTGACTCATTCCATGAGGAGCGTCATAACTAGAAGCTACTAGGAAGCTACTAGGTGGAGGCCATCGCTACTAGTAACAAGAAGCTATTAGTAACAAAGGGCATTGCTACTAGGAGCAAGGACGCTATTAGGGGCGCTCCTGGCCTTACTACTAGTAACAAGAAGCTACTAGTAACAATAAATAAAGCTCTGTAATATATTGTTTCACGTTTTCCTGACTCGAAGTCCTCGATCACTTGGACGGATTGATTTCTGTCGAGGATCCTTCAAAATACTGGACCATCGAAAATTCCAGGGGACGATTGACCACCCCCACGTGGTTCATCCAAAGATGTGCAAAAAAAGTTGTTGCGTTGGAGAGGAGTCCCAACGAAGCAGTCTTCATCAATCCTCTCTGCAGGTCCCAGCTTGAGTGGTGTCTCCGAAGGAGTGCATACCCTTTCGAAACTCTGCGAGTCTGGCGTGGAACAAGAAAAAGATTCTTGCCCGTGGTTTGCTGTTGCATTCATTCCAAATGTATATACCTATCCATGCGCTTGTCACAATTGTTTACGTACATCTAAGCTACACATCGGACTTTCAACTCTTGTGTAGTTGCAAAGGACCAAAGAACCTGAAGGTACTTCTTTCTTCCCCCATTCTCCACTAGTCCATGTAAAAACTATCTTGGGGATCTTGACAAAGGTGGATGGTCGATGAGACCCTCCATCCAACCACGGTCTATCAGGTTGTGCAATGTCCAGCTGGAGCTTCGGCCGGTGAGTCTTCGCACCGGAGCGGTGAGTCTTCGCGTCGAGCGTCTGATGTGCCGTGCTCTTCTCCTTGGTCTGCTCCTCCACCCAGCCGTACTCGCCTTCAGTCTGCTTTTCCCGATGAAAAGCTTTACATGAAGAGTCAACCAGAGGTAGGACGATGGTTTTCTTACATCGAGGACCTGACGCATCACTGGAAAATTCATGCTGGGATGATTTGCACGCTATTGATCCGCCACAGCTATAGGTGAGCATGGGCAAGATATCTTTCTGTCCAGTATTCTTGCTGTTTGGTTCAGTGTAGTTTATTTTTCAGTGCGCACGCATCTAAGTGATATTTCATTGAAGCTGTAGTGTTCTGTGGGGTACCTGGTTGAAATTGGTTGAAACCTCACCAACTATCACATGCCCAAAGCAATCATTCAATTGTGGCATAGGCCTACTCTCTCTCTCTCTCTCCCCTCTCTCTCTCTCTCTGGTTTGCGTCAGGCTGAACACCCACCAGCTCATCACCTCATCATATCAGTACCTATGCATCTGTATCTGGATGCCCCATAAGCAGAGAACCAAGAAGACATGATGTTGAGATTGCTTCCATGACTCTGAAAAGGGCGCAAGGCCTTGGCAGGTTGACAATAGGCGAAGGCCGCCAAGGCACCCTCGCACATCAGGTCAATCACGGCTTCCAGCTCTGTCAAAGTGGGGCGCGGGTACGCCTCTACAGCTTGCTGGACTGAAATTGAAACTGCCTCCAACATGGCGGTTGTATTGATTGGGTTTATTTGGAACATTGTGCCAAGATTCTTGACAAAGGTATCTCACTTCTGGTTGGTTCTCCTGCTTGGTTTGGGCTAGCCATCAGGTAGCTTGTTGCAACTGGCCAGCAGGGACACCACCTTTCAGCACAAGAAGACCAACGACCAACTCCAAAGCTTGTCCCAAGTGAAATTAGGTTAGAACATGTATCATAAGATCATCTTCAACAACAGTCAAAACGAATGGTCTGATGGCCACCGCTTTTCCCCCCAAAAATTGAAAACCCTTCGCCTGCAGGAATGCCTTCGTCACCTCATGTGAAGGCTGCTGGTGAGAGGCCCACCATCGAGCGAAGTCTGCCTCGGTGGGACGGGGTGGACTCACCTCGTACCTGAAAGGAACATAATCCATCTCTGAGCGGAGACAAAATCAGTTGAGAGGGAACCATGAAGGAGGCTACTCTCTCAAACATTTGAGATCCATTACTCCATTACTTCATTGCTTGTCCAACAAGTCCAACAAAGACACCTGGCTTCTGCAGCTCAATAAGAATGATCAACTATGATCAACAACATGAACAAACAACCGCATCCTTTGAACTAGAAAAAATAGAGAAAGAAAGAACTAAAAAAAACAAGAAAGAAAGAAATAAATAAAGAAAGAAATACAGAAAAAAAAGAAAGAACAAAAAGAAAGAAATAACGAAAGAAAGAAAGAAAGAACGAAATAAATAACGAAAGAAATACAGAAGAACAAAAGAAACACACAACTAGTAAAAAGAAACACAAGAAACAAAACGGCCAAAAGAAAGCCAAAGAGCTAAGAACATCCACCTTGGCCGACGCAGTAAAGCAACACGCCACCCATCATGGCAGCAACAAAACCTAGGCAAAACAAAGCGTGGCCCATCAAAGGACCCGAAAGACCAAAGTCATAGGCGTGTGGTAACAACTTTTGCCGTAAACTGGTCTTGGCCATGAATGTCCCATTGTCCCATGCTCGTTGCGCTTCACACGCCGCCCCAAAAATAGCACAGGCTGGGCCACTACGTAGGTGAGGCCGCTCACGGCAAAGAAGGACACACCATTGCCCTGGCCGCGTGCAGCAACAGATCCACTCTAGGTAAAGAAAGAACCAAACATAGAAAACAAGAAGGTAAGAGCTCCTTTAATGGGGCTGCCAGTGCCTTCTCCCCCGACAATAGTTTGTCACCACGGGAATTATGTCCCAAGTGGCCTTGGGACAGTCAGCAATCCTGCTATCTATGGCGAGTGCGATCTTGATTTGCCACTGCAAACCAAGCGTGCCTTTACGCTTTCAAACGTTCGGTGCTTTTTAGAGTTTTGTAATTCCTTACAGTGGAGGCTTGGTGAACGCTTTGCATGTTCTGTCTTTGAACTTGCTGTGCTGGCATTTGTCCAAGGCTGGCGATTTGAATTGCCCACAGGCACCATTGCCACACCGCACGTTTATGCGAAGATCCTGCGTGATGGCAGTGCTTATTGTAAAGTCAAGGAAATCGTGTCGGCTCCTGGCCATGTCGAACTTCGAAATAAGAACAATGGCAAGACGTACCCGAAAGGGTCAATCTCTGGTGCTGAGGTCTTTCTGGAGAATGCTGCTTTGGAAGTTTTATGTCGTGCTTTTCAGAAAGGTGCAAAGGATACACCTTCATCATGGAGCATGCCTTTTGACTCCATTTTGTAGTTCTCTGTTGTGTGCAGTCATGTTGGAATTCTGACCACCGATGCGGAAGCTCGATGGTTGCCGATGACCCCGTGTGTTGCGGCTTGAGAGTAAAAAAATGGGGCCCCTTTTGAGAAGGCCTCAAGAAAGGGGGCCTTTACCTTCTTGTTTTACTTTCCTTTGTTGTTTACAAGGGTTTGACTTTTGGCTCTGAGATTCCCAAAAGCTGAGGATCTGAAGCTTGCACTTTGAAGAAGGTTTGGTCCATCTTCCTCGTGTCAGAAGAAACGATCAAAAACCGGTGAACACCGTAGCAATAGGAATTGAAACAAACTTGGAACTTCGAACAAACACCAGTTTGTATGGCTCTATGGATCACATCGATCTTCCAAAACCTCTAAACTTGGCGCTCTGAGACCGCTCTTCTTTCCTGCCACCACAATGCCAAGTCCTTTTTGCTTGGATTCGGACCCAAACACAGACTTTTGGCAACTAACAAAACAAAGTTTGCTGATCCAAACCCTGATTTCATACACCTCCATCATCTTCCATACTTAAAGGATTGTAACATAATTTGTTGACCCCCCAGGAAGACACACATTCGTCTTTGTTGACCATTCCATTGTTGGTATGTCTTCCTATGTCCACGCACAATGAATCCCAAAAATTCCCTACATATCATGATGACCATTGCTCATAAAAAGGCCCCAAACTGAATTGGAACATGACCACAGTCTTTTGAGGTCTCCCCGACCGCAACTAATATCACTTCATCCCAAAGCAAACCCTAAGACCCACTTCGCAGGTCAAATGTTACCTCGGTCAAGCACGGTCCGCGAGGGGGTGTCTTCAATCCATCAATTCCCGAAACGATGAAAGAAAGGATGCACAAATACTGTGACTCGCGAAGCGGAAGGGGGGGAATCATGGCCGAACTCCACCTCCGTTTTCCGAATATTCACTTTTTTGTTGTGTGGCTCCCAACCTCTCCACTAGACCCGGTGTGTTCAGACTCGCCGTTGTCAGACTCGCCTGGACGGCGTCGTGGGCTTCGGGGCTCAAGTCTCCCAGGCAGGGTTCCCTCGGAACGGGGCAGAACGGAGCGGATGGGATGAAGACAGTGGAAAACGATGTGAACAAAAGTAGTTGGAAGGTGATTCACTGCGAATCACTGCGAATACCGGACTTTGGGGGTTTCTACTGGTGTCGGCTCTGAGCCCATCATGCAACTCTTCCCCCCAGGTATTCAGGAGGTTTGGACTAGCAGCTGACTAGCATACTTCAGGTGACTCCTCCAAGCAATTGGGGATATACATGTCCGGTTTTAATCCAGTGTATCCGGTTTTAATCCACTGTGATCAGGCGACACAAAATGACTGATCAAAGGAATTGGGTCAAAATGAAGGAATTGGTCAGTCCAAGAAAAGATTGACAGCAAACAAAAACATGCCAACCATTCTTTGGAGTGATTGCTTCATCTTGCCAAAGTTCCAAAAAACATGACCACCAATCGCTCGCACAGTGTGTCCCCTATCTATATGAGTGGTCAGGTTAGTAAGGAGTCTGTTCTGCAGGTGATGAGGGCTGTGTGCATGAGTGTTTACACAAACATGGAGGGGATCATGGGAGTTCCTCAGTAAAGTGCGAGTTTCCTATGTTTGCGGGGCAGAACTATTCGAGGAAGCCAGAACTGTTCGGACCATATGCCCGGGAGGGTTAGCCTTTTGCGTGTTTCAGCATGGCCCACAAATGAGAGAACGCTGCTCGAACTTCGGAATCACCCCCCCGCGGCCCCACTAATTATTCATGTAAAAACACAAACATGCAAAAATAAATCCACGCCTTCCAATAACACCTGTTCCGTCCGCTTGGGATCCGCTTTGTTCTTGGACTTTAACGTGTTCATCGCCGCGGAACGGGGAAAGCTCGGCTTTGCAACTGCTGGACCTCAAAGACGGCCAGCACACCGTCTCTGTCGTGAAAATATAGATCGCAAGCGACGGCCCCAAACCGAAAGGACAACTGCGCTGTCCGTAACGTCTAATTGGACGTAACCTTTTGCGATGATGGAAGCCACCAAAATAGTTTGTCCACGGCGACTGGATCTATACTGCTTGGGTTCTTTAAATACCTTCACTTCAAATGTTGGTTCCGCACGTCTTGGCGAAAGGTCGTCTGCTTTTGTTTGTCCCTTGTAGGTGATGCTTTGATGAAATGTGCTTGCACTGAAATGCCAAGAAACTACACCTATTTCACTTTGCTTTGCTGATTTGCCTATTGCAGTAAACATATATGAGCAACCGGACTGGTCCACACCTTCCTTGGGGCCAACAGGAAGTCGAAATGGAAGGTTCGCTACTTGGAAACCACCTCCAAAAAACGGGACGCTTGGCTGTCCCCCTTCTTGAGGTCTAGATCTTTTTCTTGGGGCATGGTGGCTCCCCCTGGAGCCTCTACTGTCTTTTGAACTCAACTCGCTACTGAACCCGGTCTTTTCTCCAGGGATCCATGCGGTCCTACAGGGTTCCCCACTCGTCAATTGAAATCTCGGTGAATCTTCTCACTAGAAACTGCAACTCGACCTGTCTATGAAATCTTGATCAGCAGGATGTCTTTGCCGTAAGTCATGCATATTGTAGTTTCAAAAGAACACCGGCTCTTCTGGTGGTGGTGGTGGTTATTGAATGAAGAGAGGGTAGAAGCAAGCAGCTACTGTATGGGAACATTTTCCTTTTCCAATCACCAAAGTTTCGGACATGTTTCTACTCTGTGGCAAACAAGATCCCAGCCCAAAGGTCTCAGTCAAAGTTGCTCCCCAAATTCCTTTCTCTTTGCGCTTCCACCACCCTTCCATTCAATCCGCTTCGCAAAAAACAACAGGACATGGCCCACACAGCCGTTCGGTCGTCTCAGCACAAGCGGCTTCTGCTTCAGCAGCTGGTGGATGAGCTGGCGACACTTGGGCGCCTCGCCCTGACCCAACAGGCCATCCACCGGCGTCCCTGCGGTCGCAGCCATTGGAGCGTCGCGGATCCTCTGTGCCAGGAAAAGTAATGCCCTGTTTCATCCCGTTTCCATAGGCGTTTTCTAGGGGCTCCTAGTGAAGATCGGCGCATATTGGTCTCCTACAAAGGGGCTTGTCCGATCATGGACGAAACAGCACCATTCCCATGAAGTCTAGTCTTCTCTAACAAAACAGAACGTTGTCTTTCCAGACCGAGCCACCTCTGGGTTTTCCCATCTTCCACCACTAGCCCCAAAACCACCTGCGTCCAAACTCCATGGATCCCACTCTGACCCGGTGGGATCTGCAAATCCGCACGGTTCAGTAGCTGCCGCCCCTGGGCCTTTCATGTAGCAGCTCAGGTCAGCGCTGTCGGAGGACTCCTTCCGCACCTGGCTAGGACAACCGCTTCATCCCTTCGTGGTATTCAGGGCAGTGTTGACGGTCAAGTGCTTTAAGTGTGGAAACCGAGTTCTGCTGTGGTTGATTCCTGGACCCCAAAAGAATACTCTGGGAGAGGACATTGTCTTCGCGGTCATGTTGTGATGGTGTCCCGGTCATGTTTTGATTGTGTCCCAGTCATGTTGTGATGGTGTCCCGGTCC